AAGCTTACAATTCATGTTAAATGACAGTGTGGGTGAACCCTAAATGTTAGTGGTCACAGGCAGCCTCAAGAGAAATTCCTAACTATGTTCATGAGAATGTGCCATACAGTGGTACCTCGGGTTACATACGCTTCAGGTTACAGACTCCGCTAACCTAGAAATAGTGCTTCAGGTTAAGAACTTTGCTTCAGGATGAGAACAGAAATCAGGCTCTGGCGGCACGGCAGCAGCAGGAGGCTCCATTAGCTAAAGTGGTGCTTCAGGTTAAGAACAGTTTCAGGTTAAATACGGACCTCCGGAACGAATTAAGTACTTAACCTGAGGTACCACTGTATTTCTGTTTTGCTCAGTGAGGAGTTCTGTGTAACTTGGAAGTCTGCACACCGGCAAAAGCCATTTCAGTAAATGATATTATCTAAATTTACCACACCTTCCTTTCAGGTATCCACTAAGTGGAAACCCCACATTGTACATTGTTCTGGGATACTCTTAAGGAATTCTTCAAAAATAAGAGAGCCATCACATTCCTACCCTCTCATCCACCAGTCGCCAGTGTTCACTGTATATTTGCATCTATCCAGATTTGAAGTGCCTAGGACATCGCTTTATTTGTAGTTCAACGGGGGTCACGTTCTGTGACTTTTGGGATTGGCTGCTTGTGTTTAGTACGAAGAAGTAAAATAAAATACTCACTGGAGTATAGTTTACATTCTTTGCTTTTCCCTGTTTGAACATATCAATCCTTGTCATTGAGGAAGAGAAGCAAAAGTTTGCCAGAAGTCAGAGAGGCCCAACGATGGGGGTAAAAATAAAAATAAAAGGAACTAGGTATTGGAAAGGCATGTTTGCAAATACTGTAATTTTAACCCACTGGTTTTTTTATTTCTCTGTATGTACCGTATTTTTCGCTCTATAAGACGCACCAGACCACAAGACGCACCTAGTTTTTGGAGGGCGAAAACAAGAAAAAAATATTCTGAATCTCAGAAGCCAGAACAGCAAGAGGGATCGCTGCGCAGCGAAAGCAGCAATCCCTCTTGCTGTTCTGGCTTCTGGGATGGCTGCGCAGCCTGCATTCGCTCCATAAGACACACACACATTTACCCTTACTTTTTAGGAGGGAAAAAGTCAGTCTTATAGAGCAAAAAATGCGGTATTTATTTGATTTCTAAGTTTATTTTCCACTACTAAAGGCTTGAGTAGCCACTTCAGCTCTGTATTTCCAGGAAGCAGTCTCTGTTCCAAGCTGTTGTGCATACTTTTTAATATTAACTGGAAAGCCATTACCTATGGATACATTGCGTGCAGCCTCAGAGGCGATATTTCTGTGAATACTAGTTGCTAGGGAACACAAAACAGGACAGGGCAATTGCCTCCATGCTCTGCTTGTCGACTTCCCAGAGGCATCTGGTTGGCTGATGTGGAAACAACATACTGGATTAGGACGGCCTTTGATCTGATTCAGCAGCCAGCATTTCCTCAAGTTCTTATGTACTAAACACTTCACTTACCTTCGAACAGGGGGCGGACTCTTATAATACAGCACCCTGAGGGAGGACAAAATTTGGTGACCCCCCTACATATTTCTTATTTTCACAGTTCCTTTTAGTGCTGTTGCTTTTTACGGATCTTCTCAGCAGGTACCCATACAGTCATACATTGGTTTAAAGACGCTTCAGGTTAAATCTTTTCAGGTTGCATCCTGCGGCGACCTGGAAGTACTGGAAAGGGTTACTTGAGGTTTCGCCACTCGCGCATGTGCAGACGCTCAAAATGACGTCACGCACATGCACAGACGCAGCGAATCGTGACCCGCGCGTGCACAGGCGCGGGTTGCGTTCTGCTCAGGTTGCGAACGGGGCTCCGGAATGGATCCCGTTCACATCCAGAGGTACCACTGTATAAATATATGCATTATGTCACATGAAAGCTGGCAACACCAATGCCGCTGAGAGAGAATCCCTTGCAGATGACCAAAGGCCTGGAGACAGTCAGGTGTATCCATAGCAGCGACCAGAGGAGGAATGACTGCTGAGACGAGGGCAGAGAGAAGAAACGCCATGGTGCATCTGTGGCCTTCATCTGCCTCAGCTGCAACAAAACATGTCTTTCCCATATCGGTCTCTGCAGCCACAGCAAGTGCTGCAACTTTCCAACAGTTTGACTCCACGCCCAAAGATGTATTCCTCCATTGTCTCCCAAGACAGATGGATGCTAACAAGGCATTGAAAAATCCTGCCCTGCCCTGTTCCACCCCTTTTTGTGATGTTTTTGGGTCACTTCTGGGTTTAGCACAATGCATGGTCACGGTTGAACGAGAGGTGCCTAAAATGGCAGACCCTCCATGTGTCCCTATTTTTCAGGGACATCCCTGATTTAGAGAAGCTGTCTCAGTTTCTGATTTGATCCCCGAATGTCCCACTTTTTATTGGAGAAATGTTGGAGGGTATGGTGTTATCCGACCCCCGAGTCATCTGAAGGCAATCCTGTATTGGGAAGGCTTTTTATGTTTAATGTTTTATTATTATTTTTATATATGTTGGAAGCTGCCCAGAGTGGCTGGGGCAACCCAGTAAGATGTGTGGGGTTGTTGTTGTCGTTTAGTTGTGTCCGACTCTTTGTAACCCCCTGGACCAGAGCACGCCAGTCATTCCTGTCTTCCACTGCCTCCTGCAGTTTGGTCAAACTCATGCTGGTAGCTTTGAGATCACTGTCCCACCATCTCGTCCTCTGTCGTCCCCTTCTCCTTGTGCCCTCCATCTTTCCCAATATCAGGGTCTTTTCCAGGGAGTCTTCTCTTCTCATGAGGTGGCCAAAGTATTGGAGTCTCAGCTTCAGGATCTGTCCTTCCAGTGAGCACTCAGGGCTGATTTCCTTCAAAATGGATAGGTTTGACCTTCTTGCAGTCCATGGGACTCTCAAGAGTCTCCTCCAGCACCAGAATTCAAAAGCATCAATTCTTCAGCGACCAGCCTTCTTTATGGTACAGCTCTCGCTTCCATACAACACTACTGGGAAAACCATAGCTTTAACTATACGGACCTTATGCGTGGAGTATAAATAGTAAAATTATCATTATGGAATGGGACATCCCAATTTTCACCGGAGGAAGGTTGGAGGGTATGAAACGGTTGCTGCCTGTACATTTCACCATAGTGCATGAGCTGGCTGTGACCAGGTGACCTGTACAGGTGCTGCTAACTGCTGATGGGACAATCTCCTCCTTCTTCATTGTAGGATTCCCTATCTTTCATGGGACTTGGCCTGACAGAGAGCTTTTCTAACAGAGGAATATCCTCTGTGGAGTAGGATATCCTAGAACTATGTGATCATAGGGTGTCCAGCTAATTTGTAATTTTGCATTTATATATTAAATGCAGAATGCCTCAGCAGGTTCATTCTCCATTTAAAAAAATTACATAGGTACTGAGAATGACCCTTCTCTGCCTAAGATCTTGGACAGCTGCTGCCATCAAGCTAGACAATACTGGGTTAGACGGACTGAAAGAAAAATAATCTGGTCTGGTATAAGGCAGCTTCTTGGAAACTTTTTATACTATGTGTTTTGTGTCAAACAGGTTGCAGTTTAGATGGGGAGGGGTTTGGAGATGATTCTGCTACAGCAGGCATGTCCAAAGTCTCTTTCGGGGGTTTAATCCTGCCCCTGTGGCAGTTTATTTCTTTGGTTGGCCCTTCCCTTTCGTTGGTCCTCACGGCCCTTCACTTCATCAAATTTGGCCCTCTTTGAAAAAAGTTTGGACACCACTGTGCTACAGGATTTAATATCTAGTGAGGTCCCTGCTCCTAGTGAGATTTGTAGGCCGGGTGCCCAGGGCTGGGCTTTTCTGTGGTGGCCCCTTGCCTTTGGAATAAACCTTCCCTCTGAAATAAAGGCGCACCTCTTTGCCCAGTCTTCTGGGAGGCAGATTGTGCTTCTGAATTTGTTGATTTTGCTGGTTTTATTTGTCATTAAAATTCGAATTACGGTATGTTTTTCTCTCTTTTGGCTTGGGTTGTCTCTATTTCTGCCCTGGTCCTTTGGCTGCATGATAAACAAACACCTTTAATAAATAAAAAACAGAATCAGGGTTTCCTACTCAATTTCAAAGGTATTTAAAGTATAATAAATTTTGCATTTTGTGGCGCCAATTAAAAATATACATTTTTCCAAAGGCTTCTGACACATTCGAATGTTGTTGTTTGCCGCTCATGTGTGTGATACTGAGGCTTTTTGCTTGTTATCGGGAGTTGCTTCATGTATTTTTTCTAAAAAATGAATTGGGCATGTTTCTGCGTAAATTGTTTTTTTTTTTAAAAAATGATGTGCTTTTATTTGTGCTTAAATTTTGCAAGTTGCCTGGGAAAATTTCTGTGTAACAAGTGTCCACCATGTACTGTTCTTGTTTGAAACTTTGGTCTCCGAATTTTATTTGAACATGACATAAAAATAAACATAGGCTTTAGCTGAGATTCCTGAATTGCTGGCGGTTGGCCTAGATCAGGGTTTTTCAACCACTGTTCCGCGGCACACTAGTGTGCCGCGAGATGTTGCCTGGTGTGCCGTGGGAAAAATTGAAAAATTCGAAAGATTTAAAAATAAAGTATTTTATAATTTTTCACATTTCTGTTTACTTACTATTTCATAATAAAGTAATTATAAAATACTTTCTTTGTGTTTATTTGATTCCTATTCAAGAGAATTACTTTATATATAGTCAATATAGGCACAGAGTTAATTTTTTTAACATTTTCTAATGGTGGTGTGCCTCGTGATTTTTTTTCATGAAACAAGTGTGCCTTTGCCCAAAAAAGGTTGAAAAACACTGGCCTAGATGACCCCAAGATCCCTTCCAACCCTTAATATTCTATAATCCTGCCTTAAAGGCGAAACCTAACCTTCCCCATGGCAACCAAATCGAGCTTGGGCGGGCCTAGCTGCGCCTCTGATTGGTCCGCCCGCGACGGAGGCGCTCTGTCATTGGCCGGCGATCCCGTGTCACATGACCGACCATCATGGCGGCGCCCATGAGGCTGTGCCGGGGCCTGGGGTTGCGCCCGCGGTTAATGCGCCGGGGCTTCCGCTGCTGTTCTCGAGGGCGCGGAGCGGCCGCCCGGCGGCGGCAGCAGCTGCTGGGAGAAGCCGGCTGTACGAGCACGCGCGGGGCGGCTGGACGGCGCGCCCGCAGCTGAACTTGGAGGCGCTGAGCGCGCAGCTGGGCGAGGCCGAGCGGGAGCTGGAGACGCGCAAGGGGCCTCTCGGGCCGCGGACCTGCGCGAGATTGTAAGCGCGGGCCGTGGGTGGGCTCGGCTGGGCGCGCAAGTGCTGTTGCTCCCGCTCTCCTGCGGGCTTAGCCCCAGAAGGTGCTTTAAGCGCCAGGGGTTTAATCCAGCCTTCACCAGCTAGCGTTTATTACTGAAATTTTATTGATGTTAGCCGCTCTGAGCCCGGCTCTGGCCGGGGAGGGCCAGATATAAATAAAAAAATACTATTATTATTATTATTATTATTATTATTATTATTATTACTGCCCTCCTAGGTGGCTAACATTGTGTATGCAAGCCGCTTTGCCCTGGCTTTAAAAATGATGCATTCAAGTTTCAGGTTCCACCTGGCTGGCAAGATTAGTAACAGCCTGGTCATGAGTGTCTAAATAAAGGCTGTGAAGCCATGCCAGGGTAAAAGGTAACAGTTCTATGGCTCTCAAGCATCTGTGTGCCAAGGGAACTGTTTCCAGGTTCTTGCCTTAGCAGCTTAACGTAACTGAAGCTCCATACATTTTCCTTCCATTGTTTTTCACTCTCCACTTCCAGTACTACCGTCTTCTGTGCATACGATCTGTTTTTGAATAATCTTATTAAACTGCTGTTAGGCTGTATCATATTTTTCTTCTTTTTCCCCCGATGCCTACTAGGTTGCCACTTGGCAGAGATTAGTCGAGGTGCAAGAAGAAATTGCAGTACTTGAAGCTGAGAAAGAGAAGGTGGCTGAAGAAGTGGGGAATATTGTGGTGAGTCCACATTATAGCAACTATTATGGAGCAACTAAAAGGGGCGCGGGTGGTGCTGTGGTCTGAACCACAGAGCCTAGGACTTGCCAATCAGAAGGTCGGCGGTTCGAATCCCCGCAGTGGGGTGAGCTCCTGTTGCTCGGTCCCTGCTCCTGCCAACCTAGCAGTTCGAAAGCACGTCAAAGTGCAAGTAGATAAATAGGTACTGCTCCGGCGGGAAGGTAAACGGCGTTTCCGTGTGCTGCTCTGGTTCGCTGGCTCCCTCGGCCAGTAAAGCGAGATGAGCGCCACAATCCCAGAGTCGGTCATGACTGGACCTAATGGTCAGGGGTCCCTTTACCTATGGAACAACTCAGAACCACTGTAGAAGATATGTTTCAATAAATAAAAGAGGAGGAAGGAAAAGCCAGAGGCTACCACAAATTCTGGTTTTGTGTTTCCTTTCTTGTTATTGTGCTACAGCCAGAAATGGGGGGGGGGGGGGGAGGGAGAGAGAGAGAGAGAGAGAGAGAGAGAGAGAGAGAGAGATAGAAAGAGAATATATGTATATGTATATTGAGAATAATTCTAACTCGCTCTTTCTTTCCCTTTCCAGAAAAGCCAAGACAGAAGTACTTTGCAGTCGGTAAGAAAGTTCTTTATCCTTTCCTGCTACCTTAACAATTTAACACCTGTAGCTTTAAAACAGAGAGCAAGTGCTTTCTGGTATGGCAAAGGAAGAAGAATTACTTCTGGCATTTCTTTGCCTACAGATTTGACAACTCTCTCCCAAACATTTGGCTCGTATAATCTTGTCAGGTCTGTGCCACATTCCTTCTAGTATTTGGGAATTTTACTTTCCTTTTTTGGGGAGCTAACAATGGTGCAAGAGTTATGACTGCACTGGTGTTAACACTAACCAAGCTTCCAACCCATTTATTGTTTCCTACCCATGGCGGCTGTGTTTCAGTTCCACTGCCAGAGACAGTATGTCCTGAAAGCCAGTTGAGCAATTCCATTTTCCAGTAAATAATATAAACCCCCAAGGCATGGCTAAACTCCTGCACAGACAGCTTTGATGGAATTTAAGCAAGCCCCAATCTTGCTTCCAATTTTGGCTTCAAAGTTTGTTTTTCCCCATTTTGTAGCGCCTTTTTCTCACGTCTCAAACTTGAGCAGGAAGCAAACCAGCAAAGCAGCTGTGTGCATTGTTCTTAAATAGACGGGTACAACTTCTGAACTCTAAATTGGAGCAGAACCGTTGCGTCAAGTTAGCCAAATCTGAGAACTATTTTGTAGGCTTGAAGTCTGTGTTTGGGACCACTTCACGGCCTAGAACCCTTGTAGCTACGGGACCACCTCTCCCGGTATGCCCTGCGGAGGACCTCAAGGTCCATAAATAGCAACACCCTAGAGGTCCCCGGCCCTAAGGAAGTTAGATTAGCCTCAACCAGGGGCAGGGCCTTTTCAACACTGGCTCCGGCCTGGTGGAACGTTCTGTCTCATGAGACCAGGGCCCTGCAGGATCTGATTTCTTTCCGCAGGGCCTGTAAGACAGAGTTGTTCCGCCTAGCCTTTGGCTTGGAATCAACTTGATCCCCTTCCCCTCTTTCCTTTTTCCTTTCTCCTTCTGTGATGGAACTCCTCTTTGGGGACTTCCTTGGCTTTTTTCTGGCCCACGTAGGACCAGTCTGGATAGTTGGCCTTCGTGAAGATTTGTCGTTTTCATCCCCAAAAAGTTTTTGATTTGAGTGTCTGCTGAAATGAGGCTGCATGTTAATGTTGTATTTTAATCTTGTTTTTAAGTTGTATTTTAATCAATTGTTTTTATACCTGGTGTTAGCCGCCCTGAGCCCGGTCTGGGGAGGGCGGGGTATAAATAAAATTATTATTATTATTATTATTATTATTATTATTATTATTATTATTATTATTATTATTATTATTATCACTTGCATTTGGAACTGCATTTCGAACCTCTTTTGCCCACGTGGAAATGAGGCAAAGGGCTTTTTCTGTCTAGTTGGCCTGGAAGCTTTTTAGAATCACTAAAATCAAAGCCTCTTGAGGAATCACGCCAAATTCTCTTGAGGGAGTTCCCTGTTAACATGTATTTCCTTCCTTTTCTCATTGCTGTTGAAAGACCGGACCTGGGATCCAAATAGCAACAAATGTCCTGCTTCTTCTTCCCTGCCTGTTTGGGTCTGACAGCATCCTCCTCCTCCTCTCCTTCCCTTTCAGCACCCTGCCTACAATGCGTTGCGGAAGCAGGGAAGGGACCTCCGCCTTCGCCTCAATGCTTTGCGCCAGCAGGAGCTGGAGCTGGATGAGAAATACTACCTGCGCGCCCTCAGGCTGCCCAACAGGACCCATCCAGATGTGGTAAAAGAGTGTGATGCGAGAGGAGCAACCTAGAACACTCGGGGACTCAAATTGAGCATGATGGGGGGGCCACTGCCAGGGAGGCCCTGCCGTGCTCTCCAGCTGGGTAGACTTCCCGGGTCAAGGATATATGCAGCCAAAGGTTCTTTTGCAGATAAAAAGAAGGGGGAGGCGTGGATAATGCAGTAACATTTTGTTCCGGTCCTTTCCTTGCTTGTGGGTGGGGGTTTCCCTAGTCACCTTTGACCTGCTGGGAGGGATATATGGCTGTGGCTGAGTAGCCAGTGACCAATCAAGAAGAGGAAGGAGCTTGAGACCTCCAGCTTGCTAAATGTGTGAGGCTTCAGGCTATGCCCACCCAGTACTACAACAAGGAGCTACTGAAGAGTATTCCCTGGGGAAAGAGCATGTGCCGCCTCCTCCTTCGTGTGCCCCATCGCTGAGAGCTCCGGAGGGTGGCAACACGAGAACGGGGCCTTCTCTGCAGTGGCGCCCCATCTGTGGAATGCTCTCCCCAGGGAAGTTCGCCAAGCGCCTTCATTATACACCTTTAGGCACCAGGCAAAAACATTCCTTTTTATGCAGGCCTTTGGTTGATCTGATTTGCATCCTATGCCCTTTTAAAATGTTGTTTTTTGGGGGGTGGGGAGTGGCTATTGGGTTGTTTTTGTTTTTATTATGTATTTGTGGTTTTATATCTGGATTTTATTCTATGAACAGCCCTGAGTCCCATGGGTATAGAACGGTATATATATTCAATAAATAAAATAAAATTAAAATAAATGAAGAGCGGGTGGTGTGGCACCCAGCAACAGTAAACTGAATAGTAGTAGTAGTAGTAGTAATAATAATAATAATAATTTAATATTTATACCCCACCCATCTGGCTGGGCTTCCCCAGCCACTCTGGGCAGCTTCCAACAAAGTATTAAAATACAGTAACGCATCAAACATTAAAAGCTTCCCTAAACAGGACTGCCTTCAGATGTCTTCTAAAAGTCTAGTAGCTGTTGTTCTCTTTGACATCTGAAAGGAAGGTATTCCACAAGGTGGGTGCCACCACCGAGAAGGCCCCTGCCTGGTTCCCTGTAGCTTTGCTTCTCACAGTGAGGAAACCGCCAGAAGGCCCTCAGCGCTGGACTTCAGTGTCTGGGCAGAACGATGGGGGTGGAGACACTCCTTCAGATATACTGGACCGAGGCCGTATATAGTCCTGTGGTCGTGGCAATATGTGTGCAGGAAGAGAGGGATGTGGGGGCATGGGCACCAAGCCTTTTGACGTACCCCTGCCCATGGAAGCTTCATAGAAGTATAGAATTGTAGAATTTGAAGGGACCCTGGGGCTCATCTAGTCCAACCCCCCTTCCATTCAGGAATATGCAGCTGTCCCTTATGGGGATCAAACCTTGGCATTATCAGACCAACTGATGGCCCCTTCAAGCTCCTTTGCCTGAAACTAGTAACCATTCCATGTAAAAGACCCTGGTAGTTAGCTCCTCAGAGCTAGTGTGGTGTAACGGTTAGAGTCAGACTAGGACCTGGAAGGGAAAAAGGAAAGGTAAAGGGACCCCTGACCGTTAGGTCCAGTCGTGGCCGGCTCTGGGGTTGCGGCGCTCATCTCGCTTTACTGGCCAAGGGAGCCGGTGTACAGCTTCCGGGTCATGTGGCCAGCATGACTAAGCTGCTTCTGGCGAACCAGAGCAGCGCACGGAAACGCCGTTTACCTTCCCGCCGGAGTGGTACCTATTTATCTACTTGCACTTTGACGTGCTTTCAAACTTCTAGGTTGGCAGGAGCAGGGACCGAGCAACGGGAGCTCACCCCGTCGCGGGGATTCGAACCGCCAACCTTCTGATTGGCAAGCCCTAGGCTCTGTGGTTTAACCCACGGCGCCACCCGCATCCCACAGGACCTGGGAGTCCGGGGTTCAAATCCTTATCTAGGCCATGAAGCTCTCTGGGGAGGGGAAAAACCTTAGGAGCCTAACCTTCCTTACAGGGTTGTTGTGTGAGAATAAAACAGGGAGGAAAGGAGCTCTGGGCACCACCCTGAGCTCCTCGGAGGAAAACGTGGGCTAGAAAGTGGATAATAAGTAAATAATAGGGAGCAGAAATATCTCTGATGCTTCCATGCCTTTAACCTCTGACCTCTTCCTTTCCCCAGCCAATTGGAGATGAGAGCCAAGCGCGGGTGTTGGAGGTAGTTGGTGAAAAGCCAGGTGAGAAAAAATTCCTTTCATCACCACCAGGGGGCGTTACTTCCTTCTTTCCAGGCTGTGCTTGTGTTGCCTTTTAAAAAAATACCTGGATCTATTAAATTCTTCATTATTCCTGGTTTAATCTTCATATCCCCCTGTGTTATTCTTTTCTTTTTTTAAACAGCATTTGACTTCAAGGTGAAAGGGCACCTGGAAATTGGGGAAGACCTGGATATCATAAGGCAAAGGTGCGTATGAGAAATTGGCGGTCTCGTCCCTTCCCATGCAAGGCATTCGGCTTAAAAGGGACAGTTTGGAAGAAAAGGAGACAGTCCTGAATCCCTTTCTGAGCACAGTGAAATGAAGCAACAGCTCCATCTGCTGGTAGAGAATAAGAGAGTGCCGTTTACTTTTCAATACAGTCTGGGGGAAATTACCGTATTTTTCGCCCCATAGGACGCACCGGCCCATAGGACGCATCAAGTTTTTTGGGGGGGAAATAAAGAAAAAAAATCCCCCCCAGGCGCTTGTGGGGCCGGCAGCGGGGAGAAGCGCTCTTCTCCCCGCCGCCCACCTTCAGATCAGGCCCGGGGACAGCAGGAAGACGCACTGCGTCTCCCAGCTGTCCCCGGAGCTTGCGGGGCTGGCGGCGGAGTCTCCCCGCCGTCAGCCTCCAAACCACTTCGGGAGACAGCGGGATGGCGGTGTTCCGCCTCCCTCTGTCCCCCGACCTTGTGCGGCTGGCGCTGGGGCTCTCCTGAAGCCTGGAGATCGAGAGGGGTCGGTGCGCACCGACCCCTCTCGCTGTCCTGGCTTCAGTGAAAGCCTGCATTCGCCCCATAAGACGCACACACATTTCCCCTCCATTTTTGGAGGGGGAAAAGTGCGTCTTATAGGGCGAAAAATACGGTAAGTTTCCCCCTTCTTCCCTCAGTCAGCGCCACTAATATTCACTAGGCAGCTGCCTCTTCCTAGGGAGAAGATCATGGCTCAATGGTAGAGGATCTGCCTAGCGTGCAGAAGGTCTCAGGTTCAATCCCAGTGGCATCTGGGAAAGGTGGAACTGGAAATGTCTCTAATCTGTCGCCTCGGAGATCTGCTTCCTGTCTGTTCTGACAGTGCTGAGCCAGAAGTGACTGGCTTGCAATGTAAAGGGGAAAGGACAGTTTCAGAGTTGCCTCGTACAATGGTACCTCGGGATGCAAATGGGATCCGTTCCGGAGCCCTGTTCGCATCCTGAACAGAACGTAAGATGCGACTGCGCGGGCACGGGTCACGTTTCGCCGCTTCCGCACATGCGCCTGACGTCATTTTGACTGCGCATGCACGAGCGGTGAAACCCGGAAGTAACGCGCTCCGTTACTTCCAGGTCGCCGCGGAGCGCAACCCGAAAATACTTAGCGTATTTATCCCGAGGTATGACTGTAATTTGCAAACACATACGCAAATCATACATTTCTCAATTATATACCGTATTTTTCGGTCTATAAGACACACCAGACCACAAGACGCACCTAGTTTTTGGAGGAGTAAAACAAGAAGAAAAAAATCTGAATCTCAGAAGCCAGAACAGCAAGAGGGATCGCTGCGCAGTGAAAGCAGCAATCCCTCTTGCTGTTCTGGCTTCTGGGATAGCTGCGCAGCCTGCATTCACTCCATAAGACGCACACACATTTCCCCTTACTTTTTAGGAGGGAAAAAAGTGAGTCTTATAGAGCAAAAAATATGGTAAGTTCCTCCTCCAAGAGTCTTGCCCTGCACCATATTGTTTGCCCTTCTCTCTCTGTGTGCATTGAGCGAAATTTCTAAAGCGTGCTTGCACACACACTGGAACCTCAGTAATGTGCCCAAAGTTGTTGGGAGGGGTGCATCAAATTTTGGCCTTGCACAGGGCACCATATTACCAAGGTCTGCCCCTGATTGAACCTCGAACCTCCTGCTTACAAGGCAGACCCCCTGCCGCTGAGCTGTGGCTCTTTAAAATACAGTGGTGCCCCGCAAGACGAATGCCTCGCAAGACGAAAAACCCGCTAGACGAAAGGGTTTTCTGCTTTTGAGCTGTTTCGCAAGACGAATTTCCCTATGGGCTTGCTTCGCAAGACGAAAACGTCTTGCGAGTCTTGCGATTTTTTTCCGCTCCCCCCCCTTTTTCTAAGCTGCTAATAGCCTTTTAGCTGCTAAGCCCCTAAGCCTTTAATAGCCGCTAATCCGCTAATAGCGCTAATCCGCTAATAGGGTTGCTTCGCAAGACGAAAAAACCGCTAGACGAAGAGACTCGCGGAACGGATTAATTTCGTCTTGCGAGGCACCACTGTATAAAAAATATCTACATGGTGCCTAGGGAACAACTTGCACCTTAATATCAGCAAGACAAAGGAGATGGTGTTGGACTTTCGGAGGAAGAGGAGAACTAGCCCCGCTGTACATCGGGGAGGGCTGTGTGGAGAGAGTCTCTTCCTCTAAATTCCTAGGAGTTTATCTCCGTGAAGACCTTACTTGGAAAATCAATACAACCCAGGTGGTTAAGAAAGCCCAACAGAGACTCCATCTCCTCAGAGTATTGCGGAAGAACGAGGTCAATCAACATTTGATTATCTCCTTCTACCGGTCCACAATAGAAAGTGTCCTTTCATATGGCATCACGGTGTGGTACGCTGGTTTGACATCAACTGATAGGAAGTGCCTACAGAGGGTGGTGAATACAGCACAAAATATTATGGGCTGTCCTGTGAATCCGCTGGATGACATCGCGGAAGAACGTTGCCTCAAGAGAGTGAGGAAAATTCTCAGGGATGATTCACACGCTGGCCGGCACTTTCTTGATCTCCTGCCCTCAGCCAGAAGATATAGAAGCCTGATTAGTCACACCAACAGGGTAAATAACAGCTTCTATCCATGGGCTGTTAGGCTACTGAATGAAAAGATAACAACAGGGCAACTGACTTTCGGGTTTGGTGGGTGTGCGTTAGTAAACGAGGGGAATTAAGACTAATAGAGCTGAGTGGGGGGTGCTTGTGTAATCTCACTGTACAGTGTTGCCTCGCAAGACGAAATTAATTTGTTCCGTGAGTTTTTTCGTCTTGCGAAGCACGGTGTCAGAAAAGTTTTGGAAAAGCTTCAAAAATAACCAAAGTCTTCAAAAACCTCAAAAAAGGCTACCACACCGTGTGCTATGAGTTGCTCCTCGAAGTCAAGTCGCAACTGTATTAACAGTGTTAAGAAAAGGAAACAAACTTGCAAGACGTTTCCGTCTTGCGAAGCAAGCCCATAGGGAAAATCGTCTTGTGAAGCAGCTCAAAAAACAAAAAACCCTTTTGTCTAGCGAGTTTTTTGTCTTGCGAGGCATTCGTCTTGCGAGGTACCACTGTATACAAGTTGTACAAGTGACAATAAAGTATTTCAATTTAGCTGGATACAACCCCACGTAAACAGGCTCTGAGGCCTGGAATAAATTGCCCCATTGTTGCAGCCACCAGCTCCCTGAAAAAGCGTCGGAGGAAGTGCAAATGTGCGAAGGCAAGCAGAGGAGCGAGGGAGCTAACAAGACTTAGACAAATTGCCTAATGCCCTGATGGAGGGACAGGGTGCTAAATATGATTCAGGCAGGACAAAGGGTGCCTTTGGTCTCTGAGCGGATATTTCCAGAATTTGCATTAGCTGATTGGAAGCCCTTCTCCTTCCTGAACAGAGATGAATATTTGATGGGTGGCCTTTGAGATGAGCTGTTTGGCCCGAGGGGCTTTTCCAATAGCAGGCTGCTTTCCCCCCACCCCCACCCCCCCTGATCTGTTTCACAAAGCTCCCTCTGAGCCTTGGGCCAAAGCTGAGAGCCTCTCCTGTCACGAAAGGAAGCTTACCATTGACTAAATGCGTTCGTCATGGAATTGGCACTCTTAACGTGGCCGTGGGGCCATGTTTCCTGGAGAGCGTTGTCCTCCTTGGTGCAACTGGATATCGGGCACATGGCAGGGAAAGGACCACAGCTCAAGGGTCAAGCAATCTACCTTGCAATCAGAGAGTTCAGTCCCCCAGCACCTCCAGGGAAGAGCTCCAGCCTAGACATTTATTGCAGCAAGGCTCATTAATCCAGTTTGCGCAAACCTAAGTTTCTGGTGATGGAATGGCTCCCTGCAAAATAGTGACAGTCTGGGGGTAGCTAGTGACTCCTGAAGCTCTTGGCTGTTGACAGGGCTTAAAAGGCCAGCTAGCCCAGCCTGCCCTCCCCCAAGCAGGTGTTGGGATGTGTCCAAGGGAACGGGGGCAATTTGCAGGCCCCCAGCTGGCTCCAGCCCGCTGGCTGGCAGCCGGACGAACTCTGGCCCTTGGAACAGCATCAAAACAGCAGCACACAGCTTCAGAAGCTTGAGCACGCCTCAATCAGCAGAGTAAATAACACGTAACAGAAGTGGCAGACAGAGGCATATGTAAAGCATATTTACAAGCAGTTTATTCAGCATAGTTCAGGACAAAGAAAAACATGTCTGCTCTCTTTCATGTCCAAGAACAGGAAGCATAAGCAAAAGCTATACACAACGGAAGTTCCCAGCAAGCTGTGGTGGAATGTAAACACATGTGACAGACATCAATCCACATATCTGTTCCTCTTAGGGTGGAACAGAACATCAATATCCTAACAGCAGGGTAACCCACATTAGCAGATCAAGCCCCACATCCCTGGAAGCTCCTCAATGCCTTCTTCTTTCCTCCCCTCTGTTCCGCAGGCGCCTGTCTCACATCTCGGGCTACCGTCCTTCTACCTCCGTGGGGCAGGAGCAATGTTGCAGCAAGCCTTGGTGCAGTTCACTTACAACAAGCTGGTGAAAAAGGTACCGAATGGTGTGGTTTTTTTGGGGGGGGGTACCCTGTGGAGCAGAGTGTCCTGATCTGCTGGCCCAGAGTAGGGCTTTTGGGGGTAAGCGGGTGGGTGCAGGGATGTCAAAGAAGGACTTCAAAATCGAAGTGATTGGTTCTAATGCTTTATTTTAAAAAAAGGTGTGGACTTACTGCAAATCAGCCTGCCAGGTCTCCCAGCCTTTACAGTACAGTGGTGCCTCGGGTTACATACGCTTCAGGTTACAGACTCCGCTAACCCAGAAATAGTGCTTCAGGTTAAGAACTTTGCTTCAGGGTTGAGAACAGGAATCGTGCTCTGACGGCGCAGCGGCAGCGGGAGGCCCCATTAGCTAAAGTGGTGCTTTAGGTTAAGAACAGTTTCAGGTTAAGAACAGACCTCCAGAACTAATGTTCTTAACCTGAGGTGCCACTGTGCATGGCTTACTAGCTGAACATGTGAAAAGGATCTAGGGGTTTTGGTGGGCCACAAGCTGAACATAAATCAGCAGTGTGATGCAGCAGCAAAAAAAAAGAAAAAGCGAATGCTATTCTAGGCTGCATCACCAGAAGTATAGTGTCCAGATCAAGGGAAGTACCGTATTTTTTGTTCTATAGGACGCACTTTTTCCCCTCCAAAAATTAAGGGTAAATGTGTGTGCGTCCTGTGGAGCGAATGCAGGCTCCTTGGCTTCAGCGATAGCAATGCGAAGCCTTCAAAGCGCAGAGGGAGCGCTCTCTCCGTGCTCCGGAGGCTTTGCGTTGCTTTCGCTGAAGCCTGGAGAGCGAGAGGAGTCGGTGCGCACCGACCCCTCTCGCTCTCCAGGCTTCAGGGATAGCCAGCCGCCTGAAGCCTTTGGAGCGCAGCGGGAACTCTGTAGGCTTCGGGTTCCTTTTGATGAAGCCGGGAGAGCAAGACTCTCCCGGCTTCAGCAGAGAGGGAGAGCTGCGCAGCGCCCCTTCAGCCAAGCAGGAGGAGAAATGGAAGGGGCTCCGTTTCTCCTGCCGCTTCGCTGAAGGGGCGCTGAGCAGAGAGGGGGAGAATTTTTTTTTCTTGTTCTCCCCTCTAAAACAAGGTGCACCCTATGGTCGGGTGCGTCCTGTAGAGCGAAAAATACGGTAATAGGACCACTCTATTCTGCCTTGGTCAGAGCACACTTGGAATACTGTGTCCAGTTTCTGGACGGCACAATTTAAGAAGGATGTTGACAAGCTGGAAGGTGGGCAGAGAAGGGCAACCAAAGTGATCAATGGTCTGGAAACCAAGCCTGATGAGGAATGGTTGAAGGAGCTGGGTATGTTTAGCCTGGAGAAGAGACTGAGAGAAGATAGGATAGCCAAATATCTCAAGGGCTCTCACATGGCAGAGGGAACAAGCTTGTTTTCTCCTGCTCTGGAGAGTAGAACTTGAAGCAATGGCTTCAAGTTGCAAGAGAGGAGATTCCGACCAAACATACAGAAAAACTTTCTGACAGTCAGAGCTGTTCAGATGTGAAACAGACTCTCTTTGGAGGTTTTTAAGCAGAGGTTGGGTGGCCATCTGCCATGGATGCTTTTAGCTGAGATTCCTGCATTGCAGGGGGCTGGACTAGATGACTTTGGTGATCCCATTCAACTGGGACGCGGGTGGCGCTGTGGGTAAAAGCCTCAGCGCCTAGGACTTGCCGATCGAAAGGTCGGCGGTTCGAATCCCCGCAGCAGGGTGTGCTCCCGTTGCTCGGTACCAGCGCCTGCCAACCTAGCAGTTCGAAAGCACTCCCGGGTGCAAGTAGATAAATAGGGACCGCTTACTAGTGGGAAGGTAAACGGTGTTTCTGTGTGCGGCTCTGGCTCGCCAGATGCGGCTTTGTCACGCTGGACACGTGACCCGGAAGTGTCTGCGGACAGCGCTGGCTCCCGGCCTCTTGAGTGAGATGGGCGCACAACCCCAGAGTCTGTCAAGACTGGCCCGTACGGGCAGGGGTACCTTTACCTTTACTTCAACTCTTAGGATTCTTTGATTCCTTCCTCTAAAATGTCATATATTTACAAACCAGTTGTTCCTTCTTGGGATCTCTTAACAGTCGAGGCATAACCCATATGGGTTAGTAATTCTAAAAACGTGAACTGAATAACGCAGAAAGTGTCGTGCTTGATCAGACTAAATTCTGTCTTGTCCAGAGTTGTTTCCCAAAATGTCCCATCATCTCACCACCGGCCCAGCTGCGGGCAAAAGCCTCTCTTCCACGACCTCTTCTCTGCGCCAGGACAGAAGATGTGAGAACCAGGCATGGGGCAGTGTCCTGTTCTTGACCTTCCCCTTGTCTTGCCCTCTCTCTTTAGGGCAGGAGGGGGCAATTCCTCCTTTTGCCGATACCTTCTTAGGGGGTGAGTGGCGGGACGCAGGTGGCGCTGTGGGTTAAACCACAGAGCCTAGGGCTTGCCGATCAGAAGGTCGGTGGTTCAAATCCCTGCGGCAGGGTGAGCTCCTGTTGCTCGATCCCTGCTTCTGCCAAACTAGCAGTTCGAAAGCACGTCAAAGTGCAAGTAGATAAATAGGTACCACTCCGGCGGGAAGGTAAACGGCTTTTCCGTGTGCTGCTCTGGTTCGCCAGAAGTGGCTTAGTCATGCTGGCCACATGACCCGGAAGCTGTATGCCGGCTCCCTCGGCCAGTAAAGCGAGATGAGTGCCGCAACCCCAGAGTCGGCCACGACTGGACCTAATGGTCAGGGGTCCCTTTACCTTTACCTTCTTAGGGGGTCCCTGGGAGCCGGGCACCCAAAGATGGTTCCCACAGCTCTTCACCCTCTTCCTTCTCCCCCCACAGGGCTTTATCCCCATGACTGTTCCAGATCTGCTGAAAGGAGCTGTCTTTGTAAGTAGCCTCACCCCCCCCCAAAAAATATTCATGGTATGGTTTATTTTTTTCAGTGAATCCGGGGACACTTTTCAACTTCAATAGGAATGATCAGATTTTGTCAGGAGACTGATCTGTAAATCCGGGGACTGTCCCTGGGAAACGGGGACGTCTGGTAACCTTAGAGCAGGAGGCAGATCTTTGGTCCATCTAGTTCAGAATAATAATAATAATAATAATAATTTATTTATACCCCGCCCATCTGGCTGGGCTTCCCCAGCCACTCTGGGTGGCTTTCAACAAAATATTAAAATACCGTAATGCATCAAACATTAAAAGCTTCCCTAAACAGGGCTGCCTTCAGATGCCTTCTAAAAGTCAGGTAGATGTTTATCTCCTTGACATCTGATGGGAGGGCGTTCCACAGGGCCCTGGTCTCGGTCCAAGAGTCCAGAAGGGACCTGCAACTAATTAGAAACGTCAAAATATCCCCTCGGTATCCACTCTTGAGAACAGAGCATTTTAGACCTAGCTTTCTGACCAAACTCTGAGCATCACCTTTGCTGAGCTGTGTTTTTAAGTGATGCCCGCTGCAAGCGGGCCTCAGCTTTCAACCTGGCACCTTCCTGTTGTTGCTGGATTGCAGCTGCTATCATCTCTGACCACTGGGCATGCTGGCTGGACCTGATGGGAGCTCTGTAGACTCAACCCACCCACCTGTGTCACACCTCTCTCCTGTTGCTTTCCAGGAAGGTTGTGGCATGCCCCCAGAAGCCAGCTCGTCTCTGCTGTACAACATAGACCCTTCTCGCTTCGAAGACCTAAGCCTGGCAGGCACGTCCGAGGTTGGCATTGCAGGTATGGCAAAAGGGTGGAGCTCTGTGGATTTGTAAAAGGGTAAAAGAGTATTGGGAAATGATCCACAATTAATTGAAAAAAATTGTTTAAAAGTGTTGTTGTTGTTTAGTCGTTTAGTCGTGTCCGACTCTTCGTGACCCCCTGGACCAGAGCACGCCAGGCACTCCTGTCTTCCACTGCCCCCCCGCAGTTTGGTCAAACTCATACTGGTAGCTTCGAGAACACTGTCCCACCTTCTCGTCCTCTGTCGTCCCCTTCTCCTTGGGCCCTCCATCTTTCCCAACATCAGGGTCTTTTCCAGGGAGTCTTCTCATGAGGTGGCCAAAGTATTGGAGCCTCAGCTTCAGGATCTGTCCTTCCAGTGAGCACTCAGGGCACTGATTTCCTTCAGAATGGATCGGTTTGATCTTGCAGTCCATGGGACTCTCAAGAGTCTCCTCCAGCACCAGAATTCAAAAGCATCAATTCTTTGGCGATCAGCCTTCTTGATGGTCCAGCTCATGAGCCATATAGAATAATTAACAAATCGCCAGCAAAACAAATACAAATCATCGGTAAAACAGCCACCTTCTATAAAACACCATAGGCGACTCCCACTCTGACACGGGGGTTATGTTCCCAGGTACTGGGCATAACCGTGAAATCACATACAGCGGGGAATACCCTCTAGCCCATGAAAATTCTTGAAAAACCCTTTTAAAAACAAAAAAATCCACCAAATTCCACCCCAATCGCTCCCTCCAAATCTCCTTTCTCAGACTCCCAACTCTCCACAGGCCTCAAAGGTTGGTGCAAAGGCTGTTTTCCAAGTCTTTTTGTGCCATTTCCTGCTCTTTCCAGGCCTTTAAAATTGATTAAATCAATTTATTTAAGTATTTGCTGGCGCTGTGTGTATACGCGGTCACGTGTAAAAGTGGGGAGTAGGGCTGGGCGATGTATCGATACGTATCGATCGGTTTGAAGTCCGTATCGTGATATTGGCTTCGTAGTTTTGGACCTGGCAAAATCATGTTACGAATCATGGTGTGTGTGTGTGTGTGTGTGTGCTATACAAAAATCACATTGTGGGAAAAACCGTGAAGCCAGCCAGTGCCTTTGCAAAGCTCCATCCTTCTTTCAGATGTCACAATATCTCAGTCTATCACAATGTTTAGCTGGTGATATATCGTGATGTTGAAAACCAGATATCGCCCAGTGGGGAGACACTTGTATTAACAAAACTCTGCTCTTATACCCAAGAAAGAGAGAGAGGCAAGATGCACATAAAATGTAGAAACAAAACTCTTTTGAAACGTTATTGATAGTTCCTTCTTCATCCCTGGTTGAAAAATGTACGTTAGAAGGGGTGGGGTTGGCGAGTGCGACTGGGGCAAAGGAATTAAGGAATCGTGCCCCAATTTCTTCACTCAAATCCATTCCCACCGCCTTCTCTTCCTACTAGGGTACTTCATGGATCATGCGGTGAATCTGAAAGACACCCCCGTCAGGTGAGACTTTCTGCCCACCTTGTCAATGTAAGGGGAAATGTGTGTGCGTCTTATGGAGCGAATGCAGGCTGCGCAGCTATCCCAGAAGCCAGAACAGGGAGAGGGATTGCTGCTTTCACTGCGCAGCGATCCCTCTTGCTGTTCTGGCTTCTGAGATTCAGAATATTTTTTTCTTGTTTTCCTCCTCCAAAAACTAGGTGCGTCTTGTGGTCTGGTGCGTCTGATAGAGCGAAAAATGTGGTAATCTGTCTCCACCCTCTGGCCCAGGTCGTTTCATTCACAAAAGAACTTTTTACAGAGTGTTCGTAAGAACCAATCAGATTTCTTCTGAGCATTTCAACAGACCCCACGTGGGGACAAAGTTAAACTACCAAAACTAATTAAGCACACATATTTCTGGGGTAAACAAAACAGAACAACAAAGGAGTGCATTTGGCAACCCCAAGCAATATACCGTATTTTTTGCCCTATAAGACGCACTTTTCCCCCTCCAAAAATGAAGGGGAAATGTGTGTGCGTCCTATGGGGCGAATGCAGGCTTTCGCTGAAGCCTGGAGAGCGAGGGGGTCGGTGCGCACCGACCCCTCTCGCTCTCCAGGCTTCAGGAAGCTATCCGCTAGCCGTGGGAGACCCAGCTCTCCCAGGGCTAGCGGAGAGCTTGCCTGCACCCAGAAGCTTGGGGCACGCTGAGCTCCGCACGCCCCAAGCTTCGCACGAAGTCGCGCGGCTCTCCCACGGCTAGCGGAGACCTTGCCAGCACCCAGAAGCTTGGGGTGCGCTGAGCTCCGCACGCCCCAAGCTTCGGGCTTAGCGCAGCGCACCTGGGGGGGAAATTTTTCGCCCTATGGGGCGAAAAATACTGTACATGATAAGAAGGATGGCCAGGAAGACAGCGATCATTATCACCTTCAGGTGAGATCTGTTTCCTGGTCCTAAGATTAACATCCTCAGATTAACATCAGAAAAGCTACATCAAAGAAACTGCCCACTGTCTTTGCTGACCCAGGATGCCTGCCTGTCCAAGTGGGTACGTGACTTGTCAAGAAAGAGAAATAGAACAGGGATGCAGAGGTGTGGATTGATCAAGAATCATATCAAAATAGTTTAAACCCAATCAACGCAATGCTTTCATTGCTGACACTGATGGCTTACTCTATATTTGTTATAATTCCTCGTAGCAATCCCACCTGATCACTACAACAATCTGGATCATTTAAAAGAAAGTTGAGGGGTTCGCGCCCCCCCCATTAGGGAGCCAACTATTCGTTCCATCCTTTTAAGGTTTTCTGCTGTTACGGAAAAATCTAGGTGTGAGGCTGCTCAGTCACCCAGCTCGTCAGGCAGAGCCCGCGGGTCCCTGCGGAATAAAGGAAGGAGTCCTGCCAACCGGAGCAAATAGCTGTAGACCAAAGTTTATGGCGCAATAGGTTCAAAGAGCAAATTTTGAACCCCGAGGATGGGGTGAGAAAGACTTTTAAAACTTTCCCACCATATCCCAGAATACAGTTCGTACAGCATCATTGCTACATCACCGACATGTCACAAAAGGGGAGGGGTTAACCTTGGCAAACGATGTCCAGACAAGTCCTTGGTACAAGATTAGCATAAGCAGACATGGCAGGGCAAGACTCAGGTATAAGATTAGCATAGGCAAATATGTTTTAAGTACCCACCACCCAAAAGTACAATAGAAGTTCCTTTGCATGTCTGGAGCCTGAGGCGAGTCAGGTGATGAGATTTGGCTTCCTTTGGCTAACAATGAGCCCAGCAATTTTCACCCCTGGGAACTTCCTGGAGGCCTTTTTCAAGGTGAAAATAGCTTTGGGATGGAGGAAACTGGGAAAGGAGATGATTTTATATTATTTTTTAAGCTAGGTACCGTATTTTTTGCTCTATAAGACTCACTTTTCCCCTCCTAAAAAGTAAGGGGAAATGTGTGTGCATCTTATGAAGCGAATGCAGGCTGCACAGCTATCCCAGAAGCCAGAACAGCAAGAGGGATCGCTGCTTTCGCTGCGCAGTAATCCCTCTTGCTGTTCTGGCTTCTGAGATTCAGAATATATTTTTTCTTGTTTTCCTCTTCCAAAAACTAGGTGCGTCTTGGGGTCTGGTGCGTCTTATAGAGCAAAAAATATGGTAACTTCCCTGAGCTGTCAAATTGAAAGGATACATTCAGGCATAATATTTGTAATATTTAACTTTAAAGACATGCCCCCCCAAGTAATTTCCGTAACACTGCCCTCCCGTGGAATTGCGATGTGCACCCACCCACAGACCCCTCTGCACAATTCCTCTTGACCACTGAGCTCACCAGCCCTTCTGTCTCTTCTTCTGCCTCGGCCAGAACAGCGTGTGTCAGCACGTGCTACAGGGCGGAAACAGAAACTCGCCATGAGTCGTGGGGACTGTATCGAGTGCACCAGTTCACCAAGGTGAGGACGACGTGCGCTCGAGGTGTGGCGCCGTTGGAGGTGGGGAGAAGGGGCAGGGTCTGCAGCATAGGCCTCGGTCCTGTATACCTGAAGGAGCATCTCCACCCCCATCGTTCGGCCTGAGGTCCAGCTCCGAGGGCCTTCTGGCGGTTCCCTCCCTGCGAGAAGTCAAGTTACAGGGAACCAGGCAGAGGGCCTTCTCGGTGGTGGCGCCCGCCCTGTGGAACGCCCTCCCACCAGATGTCAAGGAAATAAACAACTATCTGATTTTTTAAAAATATCTGAAGGCAGCCCCCTACAGGGAAGTTTTTAATGTTTAAAGCTGTATTGTGTTTTTAATATTCGGTTGGGAGCTGCCCAGAGTGGCTGGGGAAACCCAGGCAGATGGGCGGGGTATAAATAATATTTTTATTTTTATTATTATTATTACATCCTGAGGTTTTTTGGGGTGGAGCTCGAAGAGAAATTTGAGACCTTAACAGATGCTAATGGCACATCAAGCGTGTTGTTCAGTTCGACACAAGCACAGCAAATGCATGGGATCTGTTAATCGGACTCATCCCGAGTCTCTCTTGCTTTTCGCTTCAAACGATGCAAGTTTCTAGTCCTCAGCATTGCAAAGATAGCCCGTTCTCATTGAAAAAGCAGAAGGCCAGAGGGCGCAGGTGATCTTAGCTTTCTTGAAGGGATGTAGAATCATAGAATCATAGAGTTGGAATAGACCACAAGGGCCATCGAGTCCAACCCCCTGCCAAGCAGGAAACACCATCAGAGCACTCCTGACATATGGTTGTCAAGCCTCTGCTTAAAGACCTCCAAAGACGGAGACTCCACCACACTCCTTGGCAGCAAATTCCACTGTCGAACAGCTCTTACTGTCAGGAAGTTCTTCCTAATGTTTAGGTGGAATCTTCTTTCTTGTAGTTTGGATCCATTGATCCGTGTCCGCTTCTCTGGAGCAGCAGAAAACAACCTTTCTCCCTCCTCTATATGACATCCTTTTATATATTTGAACATGGCTATCATATCACCCCTTAACCTCCTCTTCTCCAGGCTAAACATGCCCAGCTCCCTTAGCCGTTCCTCATAAGGCATCGTTTCCAGGCCTTTGACCATTTCGGTTGCCCTCCTCTGGACACGTTCCAGTTTGTCAGTGTCCTTCTTGAACTGTGGTGCCCAGAACTGGACACAGTACTCCAGGTGAGGTCTGACCAGAGCAGAATACAGTGGCACTATTACTTCCCTTGGTCTAGATGCTATACTCCTATTGATGCAGCCCAGAATTGCATTGGCTTTTTTAGCTGCCGCGTCACACTGTTGGATGTGTGAGCTTCAGCGCTGGCATTCATAAGAGGTGCATTGCAAGAGGCACGCAAAGTTTACATGGGGCTTTGGAATGCTTCCTGCAGGGTAAGTGGAGAGCTGGTGTAGCGATCCCAAAAGCAAGGAAGGATTGGACTCTGATTAATAAAATACACACGAGGCTTGACCAGCAAGACTCTGAGAGGGGTGCCAATAATAATCCTGTCCGCCCCTCAGCCCAGGTCGTTTTATTCACAAAAGAACATTTTAAACAGTGTCCGTAAGAACCAATCAGATTTCCTTTGAGCATTTCAAAAAAACCCCACGCGGGGACAAAGTTAAAGTTAAAACTACAAAGAGCTAATTTAAACATGCATACATTCTGGGGTAAATAAAATAGGACTAGTGGAATGCATTCAGCAAAACCCCAGAGGTCATAAACAGGAGAGGAACGATGGCAGTATTTACCATCTCCTTGTGAACTCTCTTCCTGGCCCTTAAGATATATCTAAAGATTAACAAACTACATCAAAGCTACTTTCTATTTTTATGACCCAGGATGCCTGGGGAAGCAACCGGCCTGTGTATTTAGAATGCTTATACGTGCCTGTCAGGCGTAGAGAAAGCAAATGGAGGCTTGTGGGATTCGATCAGAAACTATTGTCAATGAATCAAACCCAGTCAATTCAATGCTTTCATCGCGGACACAATGGCTTTCTCCAGATTTTCATAATTCCTCATAGCAATCCCACCTGACCCCCCCCCCACACTCTGGATATTTGCACCCCCACAAGCTGGTGTTGTGTGGTGGTTAGAGTGCTGAACTAGGACCTGGGAGAGACCCGAGTTCAAATCTCCACTTGCCCCAGAGCTCAGTGGGTGAGACCTTGGGCCAGTCAGTCACTCTCAGCCTAACCTACCTCTCAGGGCTGGCGTGGGGATTAATTGGGGAGGGGGAGAACCGTGTCTTCCTTTTCTTCTCCCTTCCTGCAGCTACTCTTTCTTCTCCCTTTGGCTAACAGATCTCTATAAGATAGATAGATAGATGATAGATAGATAGATAGATAGATAGATAGATAGATAGATAGATAATTTATTACTGTCGGAGACCAGCTTATAAAACACACTTGGGGGTACAGTCACAGAAGGAAAACAAACAATTAAAACAATGTACAACAATAAATTTAAAAACAATGCACAGCAATAAACTACCGCAGGGAGCTGACCCCGAGTCACTCATAGAACAGAGTTTGGGGATTTTCTTAATGAACTAGTTGGGAGATGGTCTGCGCCTACAGATCTGTACACAGAATCTGGCGACCATCCGGGTCGTCTTCTGATCTTTGCCTAACAGGAAAAGGTCGAATTTTTGCTAATCCAGGAGGTCAGCGAGCCTCACCAGCAGGGGACCAATGGTCTCACTACGTGCCTCTTCATAAAAGGGACAGCTCTATAATCATACACTCTCTCTCCACAATCCAGGTGGAAATGTTTGGGGTCACTGCCAACGAGACGGGGTTCGAAAGCGAGGCCCTGCTGGACGAATTCCTGGCCGTGCAGAAGGAGATCTTCTCTGAGCTGGGTCTGCACTACAAGTAGGGATTCGTGCAAGAGTTGGGGAGGGGGGTGGCTGAGGGACCCCTGCTCGCCGTTGGCTGCTGGGAACATGGGTGTGTGATCGTTGAGGAGGGGGAAAAGGGCCGCTAGGCCAGCCAGCAGAGACATGTCTGGTTGCATCCCGAACCCAACTTAGAGGGTATACTTAAAGGTAAAGGGACCCCTGACCATTAGGTCCAGTCGTGGCCGACTCTGGGGTTGCGGCGCTCATCTCGCTTTATTGGCTGAGGGAGCCGGCGTACAGCTTCTGGGTCATGTGGCCAGCATGACTAAGCTGCTTCTGGCGAAACAGAGCAGTGCACGGAAATGCCGTTTACCTTCCCGCCGGAGCGGTACCTATTTATCTACTTGCACTTTGAACTGCTAGGTTGGCAGGAGCAGGGACCGAGCAACAGGAGCTCACCCCGTCACGGGGATTCGAACCGCCGACCTTCTGATCGGCAAGTCCTAGGCTCTGGGGTTTAACCCACAGCGCCACCCATGTCCCTAGAGGGTATACTTAGGCATGTTTGAAATACAGTACAGTCATACTTCTTGTTACGTTTGCTTCATGATATGTTTTTTCAGGTTGCGTCCTGCGGCGACCCGGAAGTACCGGAAAGGGTTACTTCCGGGTTTCGCCACTCGCGCATGCGCAGACGCGCAAAATGATGTCATGCGCAGAAGTGGCGAATTGCAACCTGTGCATGTGCAGGTGCAGGTTGCATTCTTTGCAGGTTGCGAACGGGGCTGCAGATCGGATCCCGTTCGCAACCAGAGGTACCACTGTACTAACAAAGCAAAGCAACGTCCAGGGAACATCAGAATGCTGCAGCACAATTGCTGACAGGAGCGAGAACTCACCAGCCTATCACGCCCATGCTCAGAGACCTGCGCTGGCTGCTGATTTGCTGCCAGGCCCAATTCAAGGTGTTACTAATAGAGCATAAACCTTTTAACAGCTCAGTACAGTTTACCTACAAGATGCTTAGAAAGTTGAGGTCATTTTAATCTGTTTCTGTATTTTAACTTTTGTGTGAAAAAAGGCCCAAAAAGGTAATCTCACTTATTTACTTAGCAATTCTCAGGCAGCAAGACTTGGATAGAGAAGGCCAATCAGGTTGTACCCAACTTTCATGGCCGCTGTTACGCATCTGATCCCGATTTCTCTTAACCCATAGGGTCCTGGATATGCCCACACAGGAACTGGGCCTACCTGCATACAGGAAATTCGACATTGAGGCCTGGATGCCCGGCCGGGACAAGTATGGAGAGGTAAGTGGGGGCAGAGTCCGCTCGCTCCTGAATCTCTAGTCCAAGGGCCAACCCAACCCCAAGGTTGAAGAAGCCCTGGGGAGAGACCAGTAGATCCTTCTCAATCTCCTTCTGCAGAGAAGTGGCGCAGAAGGATAAGAAGAACACGGGAATGTAGGAAATCGGACTGTGGATCCGTCTAGCTTAGGATTGTCTTCACAGTCTAGAGACTTCCCCTCCCTCCCTCTTCTGCAAAACTCTCCCCCTTTAATTCTGAGGGTGGTGGGTCCGCCAAGAGGGTCCTGTCCCCCCCTTTGACCATACCAAAATCTGACTCTCTATTTTTTAGTTTTTTATTTATACTTTTCAAATTTATACATTTCATTAATTTTACAATCCGTTTCACATTTCAAAACTTCCCATTCTTTTCTGCGGTTCCTTAAATTTACTTTTTCATATTTTCTGCATACCCAAATCCATTTACCGGTACTTATTTAATTTTTAAGTTAACTATATCTACTTAAACGTATACTCTTAGAGAACTGCAGGTTATTCCAATAATCCTGCTAATGTTTTTATCTGTTTACAGTTTATCTGTAAATATTAAATGAACCATTTCTGTTCTAAGTTTGTTATCTTGATTTCTTATTCTTCTGGTAAGTGTCACCATTTCTGCATGTCCCATAAGTTTTTGTATCCATTCTTCCTTTGCTGGGACTTCTGCTTCTTTCCATTTTGGGGCGAGTAGCATTCTTGCTGCTGTAGTAGCATACATAAATAAATTTCTGTACAATTTAGGTAGTTCTGGCCCTATAATTCCCAAAAGAAAAACTTCTGGGTTGTTGATTTTTATAAAAGATATTTTGAACATCCTTTTCAATTCATTGTATATCATTTGATGATGACAAAATCTGACTCTCATATCTACAATCATTTCTGAGATCTGCCCCAAGGGCTCCCAACGCAACTTCTGCCTTGGCCATTTATGTAACAACAAACCCCTGAGCAGTGGTTACATATCCTTATGACCACTGCTCCTTGTGCATTTTACTAATCTATGGGTTGTGCTGAAGAAGATTCCAGCAAAACAGTCAGATTATCTGGGATCACTGTCCTACGTTGTTATTCACTTGTCTCTAGTAAGTTGGCATCACCTTGCCAACAAAGGTCCGTATAGTTAAAGCTATGGTTTTCCCAGTAGTGATGTATGGAAGTGAGACCATAAAGAAGGCTGATCGCCGAAGAATGGATGCTTTTGAATTATGGTGCCGGAGGAGACTCTTGAGAGTCCCATGGACTGCAAGAAGATCAAACCTCTCCATTCTGAAGGAAATCAGCCCTGAGTGCTCACTGGAAGGACAGATCCTGAAGCTGAGGCTCCAAGACTTTGGCCACCTCATGAGAAGAGAAGACTCCCTGGAAAAGACCCTGATGTTGGGAAAGATGGAGGGCACAAGGAGAAGGGGACGACAGAGGAGGAGATGGTGGGACAGTGTTCTCGAAGCTACAAACATGAGTCTGACCAAACTGCGGGAGGCAGTGGAGGACAGAGGTGCCTGGCGTGCTCTGGTCCATGGGGTCACGAAGTGTTGGACACGACTAAACGACTAAACAACAACTTCGGCACCTGAACACCTAAAAAGTTTTAGCCCACAGGATAGCATCTATTACTTTGTTTCAGCTATAGACTTATTATACTTCTATGGACTTTCAAAGATTGACAGATGTGTGTTCATTTGATTTCAGATACATTAGAGAATTTACAAGTGTACACATTTTGTTTTTGTTGTACTAAATTATGTATATTATGCAATAAGAATTGCAGTGCTATCTAGTATACTGGTCATCGTGTTGCTTGTGTTGTTTGTGTTGTTTGTTGGCCAGTTATATGACTGCCCTTCGTTTCCCCTGCTAGATCTCCAGCGCCTCCAACTGCACAGACTATCAGAGCCGCCGGCTGAACATCATGTACTACAACCAGGAAGGCCGTCTGTCTTATGCGCACACGGTAAGCTGGGCCCCGGGCCTGTGGCCTGAGATACAGGGATGGGTGGGGAGAAGGAGAGCCCAGGTGTCGATAACCTGTGCTTTTCCCCCCTCTTGAACCCGATGCCACACTGGGGGCCTCCAGCGTCTCAGCACAACTGTCTGTTCTTTGCAGGTCAACGGCACAGCCTGCGCTGTTCCCCGGATGCTGATTGCCCTCCTGGAATCCAACCAGCTCAAGGTTCGTTGCCATCATCATCATCATCATCTGTTATTTATAACCCACTCATCTGGCTGGGTTTCCCCAGCCACTCTGGGCGGCTCCCAAAAGAATATTAAAAACACGATAAAACATCAAATATTAAAAACTTCCCTGAACAGGGCTGTCTTCAGATGTCTTCTAAAAGTCAGGTAGATGTTTATCTCCTTGACATCTGATGGGAGGGCGTTCCACAGGGCGGGCGCCACCACCAAGAAGGCCCTCTGCCTGGTTCCCTGTAACCTCACTTCTCGCAGTGAGGGAACCGCCAGAAGGTCCTCAGAGCTGGACCTCAGGGTCCGGGCTGGACGATGGGGGTGGAGACGCTCCTTCAGGTATACAGGACCGAGGCCATTTAGGGCTTTAAAGGTCAGCACCAACACTTTGAATTGTGCTCGGAAACGTACTGGGAGCCAATGCAGATCTCTCAGGACCGGTGTTATATGGTCCCGGCGGCCACTCCCAGTCCCCAGTCTAGCTGCCGCATTTTGGATTAATTGTAGTTTCTGGGTCACCTTCAATGGCAGCCCCACGTAGAGCACATTGCAGTAGTCTAAGCGGGAGATAATCAGAGCATGCTCCACTTTAGGCTGGGCTCTGTGCATGGCAGGGGGGGCCCACCTCCAGCCCAGAGGCAATGTCCATCAGCTTTGTGGGGGGAGGCGGACCCCTCAAATATTTTATTGCAGGGGCCAGAGGAACCTCAGCCCCTAGGAGTTGGCTCCTGTGGATTGTTCCAAGAGATCTATAGCTCCCATCCACTCCAGGGCTGATGGGGATTTTTAGGGGCTGGGAGCTGCCATACCCTGTTAGAAACAAGTTTGGTGTGGGTTTCGTTTGACGCTGTGTTGTTACAGTCATACCTCGGGTTACAGACACTTCAGGTTGCGTTTTTTTGGGTTACAGACCACCAAAACCCAGAAGTACCGGAACGGGTTACTTCTGGGTTTCGGCGGTCACGCATGCGCAGAAGTGCTAAATCGCGCTTTGCACATGCGCAGAAGCGCAACCCGCACTTGCGCAGACACGCCGCTGCAGGTTGAGAACGTGCATCCTGCACAGATCATGTTCACAACCCAAACATCCACTGTATTCTTGTTATTTATTGAATTTATAGACTGCCCTATACCCGGAGGTCTCAGGGCGGTTCACAGAATAACCAGGGCGGTTCGCAGAATGTTGCGCAGAGGGCAGAAGTTGGCCGACACAGGATCCTCAAACCCTCTCCTCTACCTTTGTCCCTCCTCTGTAGGATGGCAGCGTTTGGGTACCAGAGGTCCTCCAGCCGCTGATGGGCACAGAGATCATCTGCAAGCCCAGCTACACTCCATTGAAATATATCGGCCCAAACCAGCCCAAAAGACACTGAACACGACCCAAATCCTGGGGTGCCTTGGAAAATCTGAGAGGATCAAGAAGTCCAGAGACCCAGGAGAGGAAGGAAGGATGAGCGCTTGAATAGTGACGCTGCCTAGTGGATGGGGTGGGTGACTTTGGACTGGGGGGGGGGCTGAAATGCCAGCGAGGTGACCTTTACCCCCAATTGGGCACTGTGGAGAGAGAGAGAGCTCACCTCTTCAGGGTAGAGGGGAATATGAGCCGTCCTTCCCAAGGTGATCTTCATGGACCCAGAGCGCTTCCAGAACAGGCTGGCTGTGAAGTCCCAACATGTGACTTGGGATGGGAATCCCTTGTGCCCTTCCCTGGAGATATTGCCATTTTCCCATCAGCCAGACTCCAGTTCGCAGCTTCCTCTCTTGTCTTAACCTCTATTGTATTTCGTTGGTGGGGAAGCGGGGTACATTGATCAGAACCGTCGACGGAACAGAGAAGACATTCGCCCAATAAAAATCGCTAATGAAAACGTCTGTTGGCTTCTGGCAGTGATGGTTTTGGCATGGTGCGTCCCCTGGGATGCGGGTGGCATTGTGGTCTAAACCATAGAGCCTAGGGCTTGCCGATCAGAAGGTCGGCGGTTCGAATCCCCGCGACGGGGTGAGCTCCCGTTGCTCGGTCCCAGCACCTGCCAACCTAGCAGTTCCAAAGCATGTCAAAGTGCAAGTAGATAAATAGATACCGCTCCAGCAGGAAGGTAAATGGTGTTTCCGTGTGCTGCTCTGGTTCGCCAGAAGCGGCTTAGTCCTGCTGGCCACATGACCTGGAAGCTGTACGCCGGCTCCCTCGGCCAGTAAAGCGAGATGAGCGCCGCAACCCCAGAGTCATTCGCGACTGGACTAAACAGTCTGGGGTCCCTTTACCTTTACCCCTGGGGTATTGTGGGAGGCTGGGCTGTGGACAGCCCAGCGGTTTTCCCAGCAGCTCCCAAGCCATAAGCCGCCCTGCTTCTATTTCCCCCAAAGTTGCTCCAGATACAGTGGTACCTCAGGTTGCATACACTTCAGGTTACATACGCTTCAGATTTAGAGACTCCGCTAACCCAGAAATAGTGCTTCAGGTTAAGAACTTTGCTTCAGGATGAAAACAGAAATCGTGCTCCGCCGGCCGGGCGGCAGCAGGAGGCCCCATTAGCTAAAGTGGTGCTTCAGGTTAAGAACAGTTTCAGGTTCAGAACGGACCTCTGGAACGAATTAAGTTCTTAACCCGAGGTACCACTGTAGTTCAAAGGTGGTCCGGCACAGCCTTCCCCTCTTGAAATTCCCTGCCAAGATTTTGCATACTTATCATCGAATATAATCAAATTCTAGAACTGGAAGGGATCCCAAGGGTCATCTAGCCCAACCCCCCACAACGCAGGAATCTTTTGACCCAATGTGGGGCTTGAACTCCTGCTCTACCAACTGAGCTATCCCAGCTAGAGAGAGAAGCAAGGAACCATAAGGAAACTTCCCTTATGAGGAAAGGTAGCAGCATTTGGGACTCCTTAGTTTAGCGGGACGCGGGTGGCGCTGTGAGTTAGAGCCTAGGACTTGCCGATGAGAAGGTCAGCGGTTCGAATCCCCGCGACGGAGTGAGCTCCCGTTGCTCGGTCCCTTCTCCTGCCAACCTAGCAGTTCGAAAGCACATCAAAGTGAAGTGCAAGTAGATAAATAGGTACCACTCTGGCGGGAAGGTAAACGGCGTTTCCGTGCACTGCTCTGGTTCGCCAGAAGCGGCTTAGTCATGCTGGCCACGTGACTCAGAAGCTGTATGCCGGCTCCCTCGGCCAATAAAGCGAGATGAGTGCCACAACCCCAGAGATGGCCACGACTGGATCTAATGGTCAGGGGTCCCTTTACCTTTAGTTTAGACAAAAAGCAAAAGGTGATACGATGGGCGCTTATGAAATGATGCATGGCATGGAGAAAAATGGATAGAAGTAAGTTTTTCTCCCTCTTGGAACTCGTAGAACGTGTGGACGCCCTGTGAAGATTCAGGGCAGATAGAATCGTAGAACCGTAGTGTGGGGAGGGACCCTCAAGGATCATCCAGTTCAACCCCTTGCAAGGCAGGATTCTCAGCTAAAGCATCCCTGACAGATGGTCACCCAACCTCTGCTTAAAAACCTCCAAGGAAGGAGAGTTAATCACCTCCGAAGGGAGACCAGTCCCCTGTCGAACAACTCTTACTGTCAAAAAGCTTTTTTTCTTGATGTTTCGTTAGAATCTCATTTCTTGTAACCAGATGGGCGGGGTATAAATAATAAATTATTATTATTATTGAGTATTTCACACAGCGCACAGTTCAGCTATGGAACTGACGGCCCCCAATTTGTTTGTTTGTTTTTTTAAAAATATTTTTAATTAGGAATTTCAACATAACATTTTATCAAAAAACATATCATCCTTAATTCCGCCCCCCTTATTTTCCCCCTCCCTTCCCTCCCCAGACTTCCCTCAGCTCCTTTCTCTGGTTTATCAACATACGTTATTCTCTGCAAGTTACCAAATTGTATGAATCCTTAATTTATCCAAATATTGTCTATAAAAAGTGTGTGGATGTTTATTCAACACCTGCCAAGGAGCCCAATTCACTTTGTTGTCTCTTTAAATACTTTGTAAAGGGTTCCTAGTCATCTTTAAAGTCACAGTTATCCTTGTCATGTAATTTAGGTGTCAGTTTTGCCCAGTCTGCATAGTCCATTCGTTTCTCTTGCCACAGTTCTTTGTGACGGCCCCCAATTCGGATGGCTCTAAAGTGGTATCGTGGTGCTTTAGCTACAAAGTGTGGCTTTGTGTCTTGGCCTAGCGCGGTCTCCCAGGTGAGACTCTGGCTTCGATGCCTGAAACCATTGCCCGGCTTGGAGAGTTTAAATAAATAAATACTGTCGCTAGGGTGGCGGTAAGAGCAGGTTGATACGGAGTGGGGACCCGAAAGGGAGTCATGTGTGTTTGAAAAAGAGAGAGCATCCTTTTGTGATTTGGCCCAACTGAACCCTCCTTCCCAAACGCTCTTTATAGGACTCAGACGCACCTGCCTCACAGCTGCTGCCTCTGCAAAGTGGCCGCAAACCACAATGGCTCCCTCGGGTGTGGCTTTGAGAAATTGTCTCCAGACAAAAGCTGAGCACGCAGGGGAAAAGGAAGGGCGTCAGAGGCAGCAGCTGGAGTGAGGCCTAACTCGTCTTGCTGCGCAAACTCTCTTCCCATGCCAGATCCTACAGAACAAGAAGCGAGGCAACACATTGAAAGGTGGACCAGCTGCTGGAAAGAGTTGCGGACTTCGGATGTCACGCATTGTTAAATTTTTCTCTCCTTTTGTTTTATTGGTTTGTTAACAGACGTAGCAAAGAGGAAGAAAACAAAGAATTTTAAAAAATCAAAACCGTAAAGCGTCACGGCCTGGAAGGACAAAATACAAAGATACGTACGACGTATTAACTCATATTTCTGAAATATTCCCTTACAAATAACAGTAGTACCTCGGGTTACATACGCTTCAGGTTACAGACTCTGCTAACCCAGAAATAGTGCTTCAAATTAAGCACTTTGCTTCAGGATGAGAACAGAAATCGTGCTCTGGCGGTGCGGCAGCAGCAGGAGGCCCCATTAGCTAAAGTGGTGCTTCAGGTTAAGAACAGTTTCAGGTTAAGAACAGACCTCCAGAACGAATTAAGTACTTAACCTGAGGTACCACTGTAATAAAAATTGATTCAAATACAAGCATTCTCCACCTGTGAGTTCCATCGTTCTTGAGGGGAAAGGTTCTTCAATGAGCCAGACATTTGCATATACCAGGGACATGGAATGACCATATGCCTCAATATTTGTATAAGAAATAAAGTCATGCCATATATATATATATATATATATATATATATATATATATATATAAATTAATTAAACGGTCGTTCAAGCTCTGCCCTTTATATACTTCCTGTTAAATTTTCTATATAGGGCTGTTTCCAATGCTAGTTGTATTCCAGGTTGACCCACTGATTAGTTTCAGGGGGTCTAGAGAAGAATTTGGTTGGGCGCAACCTGCAATTTCTATAGGGCTGTCATCATGAATCTGTGGCATCAAAGCGCACTATTACTGAGGTATCAGCTGTACTGAAACGAAGAGCCCACAGCAACCAGAAAGCACAGGCTCCTGCCCTGCAGAACTTACAACTGAAAGATGGATGATGAGGATACAGTGGTACCTCAGGTTACATACGCTTCAGGTTACAGACTCCGCTAACCTAGAAATAGTGCTTCAGGTTAAGAACTTTGCTTCAGGATGAGAACAGAAATCATGCTCCGGCAGCGTGGCAGCAGCAGGAGGCCCCGTTAGCTAAAGTGGTGCTTCAGGTTAAGAACAGTTTCAGGTTAAGAACGGACCTCCGGGACGAATTAAGTACTTAACCCGAGGTACCACTGTACTGTGTTCCATGAAGTAGGACTATTGTCCTTTGTTCTTTTTCTCTTTGCTGTCTGATGCTAGAGAGAGGGGAGCCATGTTGCAGTGCTCTGTGTGTGTTTATATGTAAATAAAGTAGATTAGCCAAAATGCTGAGTTGCTAAGGTCTGTTACGTGAGATGCGCAAACTCTGCAGATCCCTAAGTGTGCCGGTGTCGGTTGGCATCGGTCGCTGTGATGTTCAGGCTGAAGAAAGCTTATGAAGCTCCTGAATGATCGACCAGGAGGGAGAGAACATGCCAGTCAGGCTTGTGTCTCTGCCAGGGTCCTACTCGAGTGTAGGCTGAGCTCCCTCGTGGTTTCCAGCAACTGGTATTCAGAAGCATTGTCTAATCCTCTCTTTTAAGCCATCCAGGTGGGTGGCCATTATTGCCTCCTGTGGAAGTGAGTTCCACAGTTTAACTATCTCTGTGAAGAGCTCCTTCCTTTCACCTGTCTTGAAAGGGAGGGAAAAAAGTGTTAAAATCGAGATGTGGAAAATATGGAAACAACGAGGAGAGGCATGACTGAGATTTGGATATGCTTCAAGCTCCAGACTGTGGGAAGCCCCGAAAAATTAATAATTATAATTTGGATGATAATTTGGTCTTTGTTTTTATTTTAGTTTTTTATTTTAATTGGATTATGATTTGATATGTTAATTGGATGTTTTTTACAGTCATAAAAGGTAAAGGTAAAGGGACCCCCGACCATTAGGTCCAGTTGTGGCCGACTCTGGGTTTGCGGCGCTCATCTCACTTTACTGGCTGAGGGAGCCGGCGTACAGCTTCCGGGTCATGTGGCCAGCATGACTAAGCCGCTTCTGGCGAACCAGAGCAGCGCACGGAAACACCATTTACCTTCCCACCGGAGCGGTACCTATTTATCTACTTGCACTCTGACGTCGTGGGGACCCCCCCGTCGTGGGGATTCAAACCGCCAACCTTCTGATCAGCATGTCCTAGGCTCTGTGGTTTAACCCACAGCGCCACCCGTGTCCCCCGTGTTAAATGTGCTTCAGGTTGAGCGTTTTCAGGTTATGATCCGCGGCGACCCGGAACTAAGGAAGCGTGTTACTTCCGGGTTTCACCACTTGCGCATGCGCAGACACTCAAAATGACGTCACGCGCATGCGCGGAAGCGGCAAATCGTGACCCGTGCACACGCAGATGTGGGTTGCGTTCGCTTCAGGATGCGAACAGGGCTCTGGAACGGATCCCGTTCGCATCCAGAGGTACCACTGTATTGGAAAATTAATAAAGAATGATTTAACAAAACAAAAAAAGGGAGAAAAATAAACTATTTAACCCTGCAAACCCCTTTCTCTGTGCCACCCTTTTGAAGATGAATTGGTCTTCCCCAACTGGGGGAGCACTTATTCGACGGGGGGGGGGTTGGACTACAACTCCCACCAGCCCCTACCTGGCTGAGGGCTGATTGGAATTGTAGTACAGAAACTCCTGGAAGAGGGCACCGGATTGGGGGAGAAGGCTAAAGCACATCGTCAGTGCGTGGAGAAGAAGGGTGCTAGGTGAAAAATCCTAGAAAAATGCAACCCTCCCTTTAATATTTCCTATTCGGGTTTTTTTTATCTGCATTGTTAGTTGCACATTGGGGGGGGGGGTTTCCACTCAAATTCGCCTCTTTGACTCTCCAGCTGGAGAGAGAGCAGGCAGGAGAGAACCCGCAGCAGTTCAGGAGCACAAAGAGAAATCCTGCACAAATATTGCTTTAACCACCAGGACATTTTTTGCGCGTGTGGAACAACGCCTGTCCAGAGGATTAAGGAAACAATTCCTGCCCTCTTTCTGTAGGGAGCAGGCGTGACATCACTTCCTCCCGTCCTGCCCCCTATTTAAAATCCCCCTCCTGGCTGCCTTCGAGGCACCTCGGCTGGTTTTCTGCTCTTGTGCACAAAGAAAGTCCTTCAGCGTCCAAGGACATCCACCCCCTTCTGTTTCTCCTTCCTCTTTCTCCTCCTCTCTCCCCCTGTTCTCCTTCCCATCTGCGGCTGCTTCAAACTCTTCCCTGCATCTCTGATCTCCTCTCCTCTGAAAAAAGGACCAGCGAGAGAGAGAAAGAGCCATCTCTCTAGGACCCCAGCGATGTTTTCCAGCAGGATCTCGCTCCTGTTCCTCTTCTCCTGCCAAGGTAAGTCTGGCAAGGGCTAGGAAGTGCCTTGGGACGGAGGGTTGCATCTGATGCCAGCCTTGCACGGAGCAGAACCATTGAAACCCACACGGTGTTCATTGGACGAGCATTGAGTATACACCCCAAAAGCCTCTGTATAGCTTAGCCGGGAAAGTGATGCTCTGCTTCCTTCTCTCACTCCCATCACTCGCATCTCTTAAAGGAACTAAATTCTCTCCCCATCGGTTTTGATCGGCCAAAGTTCCCCCCATTAATATTATTATTATTATTTGGAGGGGGTTATTTGTGCTCAGCTGAGCTCATCTCCACTGCACCATCTCGCCTCCTCTGGACTTTAAATCTCTCTCTCTTGCATACTGTGTGTGTCCAGAGAAACCTCACGGCTCCCCCCAGGGTTTAGCAAACCGGACAAGATGCCTGTCCGTAATTCCTCCGAGATCTTTGCAGCCTAGTTTTTGTTCTTGGTCGAAGCGACTTGGACTTCTGCAACCTCCGTGCAAAAAAAAGGCTTAGAGACAATGTAAGCATAGGCTACAAAATTCCTTCCCGCAGACAGGAGGGTGGAAAAGTTAGCTGGACTTTTTCCCAAACATGATTTGGACCCTCTCCATATTATTTGTAACCATTCTCTCCACGAGATCCCGGTGATCTTGTCACATTTCCCCTTTCTGGATCCCTCCTCTCCTATTTTCCAGCACAGCCTTTCCAAAGATGTGCCTTTGCAGGGCCATCTGGAATATGACAGCTACAAGCTGGTGTCCATCTTTAGTTTCCCACTCGTTTTTGTTTTTAAAAAATATATGATATTTTCCCTCCCTCCTGAGGGCAGCTGGAGAATCAGCTCTCGAAACGTAAGGTAAACGGATGCTCTTAGGAACTTGGACGGCAATTCTGCCCTCTAATGATTTCAGAACCCTGGACAGCGATTCCTCGGCTACTTTCCTAGTTATTTGTGGCCAGGACCCAAGGCGCTAGCGAAGCTCTAAATGCATTACGATTAAATAGTGCATTTTAAAACAGTGTTTCCCAACCTTTTTTGGGCAAAGGCACACTTGTTTCATGAAAAAAATATCGAGGCACACCACCATTACAGCCCCGTGACGTCAGCGCGCAGCGTCACGCCGGGAGGGACGCACGAAAGTGTAAGTTTCAATATTTTCCCCTCCCCCTTGCCTTGCGGGGGGGGGGGGACAAGGGCTTTTCTTCCCACCCCCAGCATTTTAAAAAACCCCGGGACAGCGGAGGACTTCTCCGCTGTCCGGGGCAATCTTAAAATGCTGGCGGGCGGCATTTTAAAATCGCCCCGGGACAGCGGAGGACTTCTCCGCTGTCCGGGGCGATTTAAAAGCCCCTGGGAAGGCAGGCAGGGGGGACAAAGATTTTCGCCCCCCGCCCGCCTTTAGAAGAGGTCCTGGACCTCTTCTGAAGGTGGGCGGGGGCGAAAGTCTTTGCTCCCCCCTGCCTGCCTTCCCGGGAGAGCGGAGAAAGGCAGCGCGTTTCTCCGCTGTCCTGGACGGCTTTTGAAGGCAGGCTTTTGAAAGCCGTCCGGGACAGGGGAGAAACGCAGCGCGCCCTTGCCGCTGCCCCTGACTTGGCTGGAAGGCTGGCGGGGGGGAGAAGCCTGCTCCTCCCGTCGCCAGCCCCGCAAACTCGGGGGACAGCGGGAGAGGCGCAGCGCGCCCTTGCCACTGCCCCCCGACTTTGCTGGAAGGCTGGCGGGGGGGGGGAGAAGCCTGCTCCTCCCCGTCGCCAGCCCCGCAAACTCGGGGGACAGCGGGAGAGGCGCAGCGCGCCATCCCGCTGTCTCCCGACATGGTTTGGAGGCTGGCGGAGGGCTTCCTCCTCCCCCAGCCCCGCAAGCTCCCAGAGCGATGCCAAAGCTGCGCACAGCTTCGGCATGGCTCTGGGTCCCGTTCTGGGGGAGGGGGAAGCTCGGGCTTCCCCCGCCCCAGCCCCACGCCTGGCGGTGGGGGAATAAATTTTTTCCCCCTTTATTCCCCCCCCCCCGCCAATTTTTCCCGCGGCACACCAGGCAACGTCTCGCGGCACACTAGTGTGCCGCGGAACACCGGTTGGGAAACACTGTTTTAAAAGAATCTCACCCACCAACACACACACTTTGAACAGCAGGTCCCTGTGCCCTGATCATGAGCTTAGTTCGAAACACACAGCACTAAAACAGCTTCCTGTGTGGCACGGCGGTTGCTGTTTGCACTGTGCTTTGGATAATGGCCAAAAGGTTTGATCAGGGGGGTGGGCAGCGTGGTGTATTGGGTAGAGCTATCCCGGGGATATTCAGAGTCACTCCCAGCTCTGCCACAAAGCTTCTCTAGGGGAGGGCGAGCGGGGGGGGGGGTGTTGTGCAAAAGTCGAGATTTCCAGGAAAGAAAACATTATAGAGCGTACAAATGATCACTCACAGCTGGATACAGTGTGTGTGTGTGTGTGTGTGTGTGTGTGTGTGTGTGTGTGTTAGGCAATAAGCAAAGGCAAAAGAAACTGTGAGATTACCATATCACAACACCACTACCCGGACTGTGTTATCATACGGGGGGCAGGCACTAACTAAACAAAGATGACCGCCTTGGGTTTCTATTTTGCATCTGTACATTTGCCTGTTTTGATAAAGGTTTGTTATAGAAATAATACTGGGCAACCATAATTCCCAAACCGTTTCCCCTCCGCAAAAAACCCCCACACACATTTCTGTTGCGATACTGCCCTTGGGGGCCAGCTGCGGCCAGGAAAGTGCCTGCCTGCTATTTCTACCCTGTTATATATAATATATCACTCTTAATTTGATTACTTTTCCCTGGGCTGTCAGCTGCTGCTGCTGAGTGGTGTAGAGTTTCTGAATAGGGTTGCCTGGGAGAGAATTTGATGGATAGAGTTTTGCCTGCGATCCGGCTCTGACTGATGAGCACATGCAGAGCTGGCAAGGTGTTTTTTAATCCCCATCTAATTTACAAGGGTCTCTCTCTCTCTCTCTCTCTCTCTCTCTCTCTCTGTGTGTGTGTGTGTGTGTGTGTGTGTGTGTGTGTGTCTGCTAGCCTGCCTGCCAGCCATTTAACTTGGTTTCGGCTTTTCGGAGCTCTCTGCTATGCAGAACATCTTTCTGCAGATCACCTGCTCCCTGCGCAGGGCAAACTGCAGCCCGGATTTGTGCAACTCGGGTCTGTTACACAGAAACTGAAGAAGAGCTGCTTTTTAATGAGTCAAGCCAGTGTTGCCTGCACGGACTGGCAGTGGCAGGGTTTCATGCAGGAGACTTTCCCTACCCGGAGGGGCCACCGGGGTTTGAGCTTATGCAGGCAAAGCATATGCTCTGTCGCTGAGCTACTGCCCATCTCATAATAATAATAATAATAATAATAATTTTATTTATATCCCGCCCTCCTCAGCTGAAGCTGGGCTCAGAGTGGCTAATAACAATAAAAGTAACACAGCATTCTAAAATCAATTCATTTTAAAATCAGTTCAAAATAAAATTAATGGCAACCATTGGGCTAGAGTTCTGTGAGGATTACAGAAGGAGGGGGTCAGATTGCGCCTTGGCCAAAGACCTGGTGGAACAGCTCTGTCTCGCAGGCCCTGCAGAAAGATGTCAAGTCCCGCAGGGCCCTAGTCTCTTGTGACAGAGCCTTCCACCAAGTCAGGGCCAGTACTGAAAAGTCCCTGGCTCTGGTTGAGGCCAGCCTGACCTCTCTGTGGCCCGGGACCTCCAAGGTGTTTTTGTTTGAAGACTGTAAGGTCCTCTGTGGGACATACCAGGAGAGGCGGTCCTGTAGGTACGAGGGTCCTAGGCTGTATAGGGCTTTAAAGGTTAAAACCAGCACCTTAAACCTGATCCTGTACTCCACCGGGAGCCAGTGCAGCTGGTATAGCACCGGGTGAATGTGATCTTGCAGCGAGGACTCTGTAAGGAGTCTCGCCGTGGCATTCTGCACCCGCTGGAGATTCTGGGTCAGTCTCAAGGGCAGCCCCATGTAGAGTGAGTTACAATAAGACACAGGGATGTGGGAAGCTTCCTTACACCAAGCCACTCCATTGGTCCATGTTGCTCAGCACTGTCTGCACTGGCCGGCAGCAGCTCTCCAGCATTTAAGACAAAGGGCCTCTCCTGGCCCTATTTGGAGTTGCTGGGGTTGAATAAGGGAAATTCTGCATACAGAATCGTTGTACAGTGGTACCTCGGGTTAAGTACTTAATTCGTTCCGGAGGTCCGTTCTTAACCTGAAACTGTTCTTAACCTGATGCACCACTTTAGCTAATGGGGCCTCCTGCTGCCACTGCGCCATCGCTGCACGATTTCTGTTCTTATCCTGAAGCAAACTTCTTAACCTGAAGCACTATTTCTGGGTTAGCGGAGTCTGTAACCTGAAGTGTATGTTACCTGAAGGGTATGTAACCTGAGGTACCACTGTACAGTGGTACCTCGGGTTACATATGCTTCAGGTTACAGACTCCGCTAACACGGAAATAATACCTCGGGTTAAGAATTTTACTTCAGGATGAGAACAGAAATCGCGTGGCAGCGGTGTGGCGGCAGCAGGAGGCCCCACTAGCTAAAGTGGTGCTTCAGGTTAAGAACAGTTTCAGGTTAAGAACTGACCTCCGGAATGAATTAAGTACGTAACATGAGGTACCACTGTATTTTAATATTCTGTTGAAAGCTGCCCAGAGTGGCTGGAGAAACCCAGCCATATGGGTGGGGTATAAATTATCCCTGTCCCCAGGCCCGTCGTCATCATCACAGATTCTCCACCCCAATTCAATCCACAAATTGAACAAACTCGCTTTTCTAGAAGTGTCCGTTAGTACAAAGCTGGTCAGTGTTCTGAATTTGTCTCCTATCATAGAATCATAGAATTGGAAGGGCTCCTAGGGTACCCCGGGGTCTGTCTGGAACCTTATATCCCAGCTCGATCACCAAGATCATCTGCAGGAACATCGTTGGTCGTTCCCCAAGTTCATAGAATTGTAGAGTTGGAAGGGACCCT